ATCAAATTAGATAGGATGGTGATTAGGTTGTGACAAATATAATTCTTTGTAAATATTTTATGAAATTCATTATACTAAATACCTACAGTTCTAGGTAGAAAGTATTTATTATCTAACAATGTTAAGTGTTAGATTATTCAAAAAATCAAAGACAATTTCTATTACCTTTCATTATAACACATAACCATAATCTATAGAGTCTAATTAGTTTTAAGAAAGAATAAATAATAATCATTAATGAGTCTTTTTTTCTATATTAGAGACTGGATTATAATTGACAATTAATAAATCTTAATGAAATATCATTGTACACTTATAATAAAACATAAGTATTGTTGTTTTTGAAGTCTTATAAGACAAAATCTACAAAAGAATAAGTTAGATAACAATGTTTATTCTTAAATCGGGCCTATTTAACTTGGTACTATGAAATATAAATTCAATATGTTTGTATCGCATTGGTTGAAGTTAGACATTAAAATTGTTGGATGCCAACCGGCTCAGTGGTCTAGTGGTTAAGCACTTGTTAGGCGAGATCATGGTATCACACTGCTGAGGAGTCCCACAATAGGACAGAACGGCCGTCCAGGGTTTCCATATTTTCTATGGTGGTCTAGCTCCAACTGAATCACGATCTCAACTATTGAAATTACTATAATATTCGCAAAAACCCTTCTGATATTATTCAATGATGTGCTAGATCAATTCGAAAATTTCCCTTGTTATTTTAGTAGGTTAACTTGCTAAAATTTCATAGTTTATTTATTTCATACACATAGTTCCCTTTATTATTTTAAAGAGAGCAAGAACAACGGTTAGTGCAGAATAATATGTTATTCATTTTATTTCGTTAGGTTCTCATCAGCTGCTTACAACCTAAATATATGTGAAATTCAAAGTTATTATAGATATTGACATACTTATACAGCAGAGGGCGATGAAGGATGAATATATGTAACATAATGTAGCAAAGATTTCGGTAGAGTTAGTAAGGTCATAAAATTTTGTTTTGAATATATAGAGTTTGAGAGGGAAAGTTCCAGAAAATTGAGATAGTGATTAGAAATCATGGAATTAAAACACATTAGACGATTATGTAATGAAGTGACTGAATATAGATTAATGTTAATAAAGAGAGATATGAATTGAAATTGGTCAGTTATGAATGATGTAATTATAAAATTCAGAAAGAGTTGGAAATAAAAATAAAAGGGTTGTGGGGTGAATGTTACTAGGGCAAAGAAAGATTTATTACTGTTTCTTTTTGTATACAAAGATCTGGTTTTAAATGTTTGATTGCTTCGGCGAATTTCAAAAGGTTTGAATTTGATTGTTTGTTGATCACCTTAAAGGACTTCAGTATATCGACTTCGTGTCCTGTGTCAAGGAGATGTCTTGCGACAGGGCTGCTAAATGCTTTTTGTCCGTTTGATCTCAAACTCTTCGGAATATGTTCTTTGAATCGGACGTAGGCTCTCCTTTCTGTTCTATCAATGTAACTGCTTTGGGATTATTATTATTATTATCTTTATTCAATATTATATTTTCGGTACAATATGGAATGCTCAGCACAAAGTATTTCAGCAAGTTACCTTTTCATATTTCCTAATCGATGTTGACGATAAACATTGAGTGATTTCCAATTGGATGTTATCAGTACAGGAATCAACATCTGAATAATGTTCATTCTTTTCAATTTATATTTCAATGAATTGACATAATATTCTGTTGACACAAACAAAAGACAGATAACTTGTTGAAATATCTAGATGACAGGAACAGATAGCTCAGATATTCAAGTAGACTAACTTTATTTAATAATGAAATGTTAGAAATCTTTACTATCAAAAACTTCTGTTAATTGAACAGAAATGGTATCAACAAAAAAGTCATGAATATGGAGATAATTTACAATGATTATATTTTATTATATTTGAATAATTACTATCAAAAGTTAAGCTAATTATTAATTGTAAAGGAGAATATATATGAAGTTAAGATTTAGATGATAAGGATCATATATAATTCAAAAATCATAAGTTGATATTCAATGAACTGGGAAATTCGAATCATCATCAACTATAACTATTCATTATATTCACTTATGATTATTCTAGTTATCATTTTAGTAGAATGTAGGTAATTTGATTGATTATTATGATAATCATAATAATTGAAGAAGATAAGTTGAGTAGAAACAAAAATAAAGAAATTGAATGAATCAATATATTTTATCTTGTATAGATTTAAATTTCAAAAAGAAATTATCAACTGGAGATTATTATAGATAATCTATTTTATAATGAATGATTTTAAAGTTGAGGCATTTATCTAGAACAGTGTTTACTCTTGCACATTATGCACATCACGCATATTCAAAGAACATGAACTTGGATGGGTAATAGATACTCTTCCGAATTAACCATTATCACAGAACGAAGAAAAATAGGCACTTTTACTAGTGATAAGCCGTAACCACTGGAACTAATCCGTGTTGAGTAGAGACGGGTATCTACCTCAGTACAATGGAAGATGGTCGCGCAATTTCGTGGAATGTTTGATGTTAGACACTAACATCATTGGATGCCGAGTCAGTGATCCAGTAGGATAAGCGTTCGCGCGCAAGGCTGAAGGCCCTTGGTTCGAGTCTTCCGAGCAGGATCGTAGATGCGCACTGCTGAAGAGTCCCACGATAGGATGAAACGGCCGTCCGTGCTTCCAGATTTCCAACGGTGGTCTAGCATCAATCGATTCATGATCTCAATCAAAAAGTTTTTACTCTTGATGAATCTAGCTAAAAATGAAACACTTGGAGAATGAATATTTGATTTTACTATTTCATACTAGATTAAATAAGTTGCTCGTTTCAAACAAAATTGAGTATTGGGTAGAAAGTTTATAGAAAATATATCGTTTTGTTATATCTAAATAGTTAGAAAAATTTGTATTTTTGACGTTTCGTGGACTTAATCTAAATCACTTCTTCAGAGTAAGCAAACACTTTGAAGAAGTGATTTAGATTAAGTCACGAAACATCAAAAATACAAATTTTTCTACCCATTGAGATAAAACAAAAAAAATTATTCATTATTAATTCAATAAAAGTTTTTTTCTTCAGGATATTGATTCACTTAAAATATAAAAAAGTTAACACATACTAAGGATACTGTAGTAATTAGATAGAGGATAGTTTAAGATTGTATTCAATTACATTAACTTATGATCTACGGATCATATTGATTTTCATCATTCCCATTTATAATCTTGAATTATTCAATGACTCTATATCTTAAATACTTTACAATCATTAAATGTTTTCAGTAGTATTTATTAGAGTATTACAAAATAAATGGGATACTCAGTCAGTTTTTAATAATCAAACCTTTTCCAAATTGTTATTGAATCTGAACCGTTTTTTTTTGTGTTTGTATGATTTGGATACCACACTAAAAATGATGCCTAATAACTTGGGTTGAGTTATTGACATCAGTGAAATTTTTTTTATGAATTATGATAGAACAAACATTTTATTCTGTGAATGATCAAATTTCAATCTAACTATCACTATTAGATGTTTTGGTATACAGAAATTGTAAGATTTCTATAAGATAGAGATGATTTGTAGCTTATGAGAAAGTTTTGGAGGTATCATATTCTCTAAACTGAATGATTCGATTAAGCTTAGTCACAATAAAATTGCCCTGAACAATTAAAGGATTCAATGACAACAATCTAAAAGAAACTAAATATCATTTACGAGATAAGATGAAATAACTGTGATTAAGACATTACATATAACATTCGTGACTGGCCTTTCTATATGAGTTTACATGCATACCAACTAGCTATTTAAACACCATGACATATTTTCGCATGTAAACAATAATGGATAGGAATTCAACCAAGAAAATGTCTAAAAATTGGACAGATGAAATAAATAAAACCAAAGAATTTTTTGAGTGTGAAGGTCAGGTCACTTATTAACTAATAAACAAATTCCAATTGACCCTACAGTCAGCTAATAAAAAAGGCAAACAAATGAAAGGTCAGAGGTCAGGTTAGGGATGAAGACAATTAAAACAAAGATATAAGGAACGAACATAGAATGATGAGCAAAAACCATTCAAATTTCATGTTAATAAAAGAAGCCTTTTAGTTAACTGTGGATGAACCCTGATAACTCATTTCCTTCTAAAGTAATGTCCTGAGGATTGTTGTCTAGATGACTAATTCGAGGTTAACGATTAAACCTTTGAGGTTAGAGGACATGACAATTGGAAAAGCTGCACTAATTCGAAGACTACTCTTAGACAGGTGAATAGAATGATGTAATAGGAGTAAAATTTTGTTTCGATTTTATACGATACTTGCAAATGATGATACCTTATAAATTGACTGTCGAAGTTAATTTAAACGTTTTGTCTAACTAATTAAATATAAAATTACTAAAGAGATCAAGCAGAATAATACCGGAAATAATTAGAAATAAAAGAATATCGGGGCACGAAGTTAGTCAAACGAAAAGAGGAAATTTTGTCCGCATAACCTTTTAAGTTTAGTGAATGATGTTTAGTGGTTTTTTAAATAAACTGAATATGACTTTACCTAAGCAATTTTTAGGACAATTTAAGACACGAATGTTGTTTGACATAGCCTTTAAAAATTCTAAAATCAAGTTTTACTGACGAAAGTTTGACATTATAACGCAAAAAACCCATTTAGTTACTTTATTATTATTGGATCATTGAATCACTGATTCTATATAAATATTTGTGAATGGAAGATACAGCTCGGTATTGGGTTCACTCAGTTGCCCATTGCTCCTGGATTTCAAAAGTTATTTAGTTAAAACCAGTCCATGATGTGAAATTTTGAGTTGAACAATCTATACAAAGTTCTATAATTAGATCACTTTGTTTACTTAGGTTGTATTTTTTTGTTATCTCAATAGAGAATCTCCATTTGTGTCACCATCAACTTCTCTCTTTATTCTTCTTCAGGATTATTTAAACTAGAAAGATGTCAATGAAGAAAAATAATTCCTTTCATATATAATAATATACAAATAGAATAACAATTGTTTCTGTTCAATCAACAGTGAATATCCGAACTCATGATTAAAAAAATGCTGGGGCGTGTGAGGAAAATCTGCTTGGTTGAACTAAGATTTTGGTTTCCAAATTTTTCAGCATTACAAGTGCTGATCCAAATGGTAATGAAACAAGCAGATTTTGACCTCGTATTTATAAATAGATTTATTCTAATATCCATTAACTTTAATAGTTTGTTTGAAAACTAGATGAGCAAATATAAACACATTTAGCCTAAGGAAAAACAAGTTAAAATTTATGAAAAAAACGAGGTCTTAATTTTTAGCCTATTCAGTCGTGATAAATCTATTATAAGTATATATATATTGTAAGGTGGTGATCAGGGGTAGTTTACAGGAAACCTTGAACCTAGGTCTCGTGCTGTATGGAACTCACCAGCAAGGTGTACCTGTGATCTTAATGGTACCTGATGCTCCCTGGTAGATTCGACCTCGTATCAACTAGCTTCATGATTAGAGACGTTACCACCGAGATTTCCTGTAGGACTGCAACTAATTGATCAACTGATCGGTAGGGTTTGATGTGCACTAAGAAGGACCTGACATATATTACGTTGGTCACTACCTAGTGGTCACTCAGGTGTAAATACATCACAGTCCTACAGGAGGTCATTCGTGGCCGGTAAATCTCGGTGGTAGCGTCTCTAATCGTGAAGTTGTGTGAAACGAGGTCGAACCTACCAGGGGCATCAGGTACCTCAGGATGATGGATATACCTTGCTGACGAGTTCCAAACAACACTAAACCTAGGCTCAGGATATCCTGTTAATTACCTCCAAGCATCACTTTGTTTCTAAACACATTGCTTGCGATGCCGGGTTATCTAGACTAGTGGCCACATTGCGAATTGACCGATAGAATTCTGTCTGCACCAAGGATGGCCTGACATGCATGACATCGGTCATAACCAGTGATCGATTAGTTATGAATATTCGTTTTCCTTCACAGAACGCATGGACCATACCAGGTTTTCTTCTAGTGCCTATATCATTAGATTCGACGGATCATAAAATTTTTAATTCCGTGATGCTGTAACAACACTCTTAAGTATTAAGATTATTTATTTTCAAGGATATTTTCGTTTTATTTGCAAGTGTTTATAAGTTCCTTTTATTGATATAAAGGACTGGGATTGGTCAACCCCTATTAGTGTCTGTGTATCTGAACTGACTACTTCAGTATTGCCAGATACAAGTTACAAGTTTTCAGAACAGTAGAACAGTGAATTTCAGGGCTCGCATTTTGTTCTATTTGGATTTCACAAGCTTCATGTACCTGCATCTTAGTGTTTACGTTCACACTGAATCTATAACCCAGTGCGTCCAAGATGACCTTCAGGATCAAGATACAAACTCTTGCAAATAAAATTCTTATCCCTTACACTAGCTTGTGACTATATTCACTCAGTAACTTTTTAGATAATGCCTTGGTGTTTGAAGTGGCAGGCACTGGGTTCAAATCCGAATGTGAACATTAACGCTGAGATGTAGGTGCGTACAGCTGATGAGTTCATCAGAGGACGAAATGTAGATCTTGAATTCTGTTGCAATTATCCAAGTTTATTAGATATTTTCGTATCTATTCTTTATTATCACATGGGGATAATTTTTGAATCTATAAACCAACAGTCATTTCCCATACTATTATAAGTAATACTTGCAGAAGTTGGTAAAACCAGTTTGGTTTTTAAGTGTAGTGATAATTTTTTAATCTAGGTGACCATTACTTATGATATTTCCTCAATGGAATCAAATCATTTTGAAGAGGATACCGAAAGGCCAAATGTTTTGAATATGAGCTTGAATAATGGTAACCAGCTGGTGCTCTATTAAGTTTAAATTATTGAACAACAAATCTTTATAAAAAAAACCTCTATCAATGGTAACCTTTATGATTTGTTTAGTTCCACTTATAAGAGGATCGGAGGAAGAGATTCAGAGTCCTTTTTACCTTGACACTTGTCACTAACTTGGAAATATTTCCTAAACAGTTTGGAATAATTAATATTAAAGTCAAAAACTAGTATGTTTGTTTGTGTAGTTTATCAAACACAGTATACTTAAAGGAAAACATATATATTTATAATTACATCTGTTTGTTTTAATGAAAAAAATAATATCCGTTCCTTTTTTGGTTGTTATAACTCAGAACTAACAACTTGAATATCTTGACACATCAAAAGGTCATGTGTCCTATTAGCCTATTCATTATTATATATCAGGTTTACAGTTTAGAACAATGAGTAGTCTTGGTAAATATTCTAGGTACTCTGCTACCGTATTTTGGCAATAGATTTTTAGAATTAAAGTGACCATATAGTTTTAAAAAATTTTAAAATCTATTTATGTATTTCCACTGGAAGTTAATTTTGACAAAGAGAGAAAAATGTCTCATATTTCAAGTTTCAGTTTTGGTATTTAGGGTTTTTGGAATAGTAACACTTACATTTGATAGTCTTTACTAAGTTGCCTTTATAGAGTATTATCACGAGTAACTTCTAGTCACAAAACTATGTCAAGAAGATCACAAATACCAGTTTCAAGTGGTATTTCTTGATATTAGTACAAATTTTTCAAATGTTATATATTTTCCTTAATTATTATCTGCTGATTATCTTATATCTTACTTTCTATCAACTAATTCTTTCTTCCTATACTATATCCTTATATACAATCTTTCTTTTATATATTACCACCATTGAATTAACTACTTCTATGAATTTGGTATTCATCTTGTTGTGCTAATAAAGTGTGGCAAGTTGAACCAATGCATATATGTGCCTGGTCGTACGTTGTAGCTAACTGATCTGCTGATAATAGTAAGAGGTATTGAGAAATAGGATTTCATCAGTAAATCAAAGTAGATTAAGGATCAAATGGCAATTAACCGACACTTTTATTTGTTAGAATTGATTAAGTATTGATCCAACCAGGATCGTCAGTCTCGTGCGCAAGATCATGAATCGATTGAAGTTAGACATTAACACCGTCGGGTCCCGGCTCAGTGGTCTAGTTGGCTAGGCGCTTGGCGCGAGACTGATGGGTCCTGGGTTCAAACCTTGCGGGGTGAGGGATCGTGGGTGTGCACTGCTAGGGGTCGTACAGTAGGAGGGGATGGCCGTCCGGTGTTTTCAGGTTTTTCATGGTGGTCTAGCTTCGATTGACTCATGATTTCAATCAGTGAAGTTTACTGATTTGTTGAGTTGTAGAGCAGTATGAGTTTATTAACCAGTTGAGGCTGTTATCTGTTAATTCATCGATGTAAACCATAATAATTTAACTAATATTTATGGTCCCGACTGTGGCTGATACTTTCATACGGTGGTCTAACCTTGCTATCATTAACCACTCAGTGGAGCTTTATTAGAAGAAACATTCGTTCCTTGAGATCTTACCATATCAAAAAGGTTGGATGGATAATGGCAAGATAATAGTCAGCAAATCGAAATTCCAGGTGAAAGCTGCACACTCAACCATACATGGATGCTAAGAGAGTGAAAATTTTCCCATGAATAGTCATCACCTTCAGTGGTACTTTCTTCATGCCATTGAAGATAGACATTGAAAATATTCATCCTGAAATATCAAATCTCGTCTTTCTACTACTAATATTCGAACTCCATGTCAAATTGGACATTAAGATTAACTATTTAAGATGGTTGGCTCTTATACCTCTGATATCTAGAACTTGAACGTACTTATCTACTTGAACTCGCCAAAATCGGTAAAGAACCAGCGCTAGGAGCACTTTTGTATTTAAAGACTGGAAAAGAGCTTGCTGTGGTCCTACCACCGTAGGGAGAGCAACAAGTTTGAGAACTAATTCTGGAATGCATGTTTACATTCCGACCACGTATTTGTCCGTTTCTTATTCGACTCGGAAAAAATCTAACATGAAGATGTCCTCAAGCCTTATTCAGAAATGTAAGGACAAATGTTATGTTTACGATAGAATTACTTAAGCATCTAGTCCATCATGGAGGAAACATTCATCTTTAGATAGGATAACGTGATTCGCTGTCTATTGTAAAAACAGCATTGGCATCTGTTAGCTGACCAAACAGAAAGTTATAGGAAAGCAAGTGGATCTCAGAATCTTCTACTAAGCTGATACATGCTTAGCAGTTCGTTGCGGAGGGCTCTAAACATTATATAAACTAGAAAAAGATACATATGGACTAACGAAAAGTTCATCAAGTGTTCGTCAGCAGTGGTGTTTACGAAAGCAAAGGTAGCTGAAAAGACATCAGCACTAATACTAGTATTACTGCATAAAGAGGTTGAAAAAAGTCAGGTGTTAGTGAAATCATCTCTTGAAAGGATAGAGCCTCTATATACTCTCAGACTGGGCGAGTAAAATGGTAGGCAGAGTACTTCAAGAGACATTTTCAACTGGCACTTATATACTCCTCATTTACCCACAACTTGTCTACGACCTGAATATTAGATCATTATCAGACCTTAGCAAAGTTGTGAAAGCCACAATCGAATGAAAATGAGTAACGTCAGCTTCTCCTTATGGGTTAGCTTTGGAGGTTTCTCAAGATAGTAGTCCATTTTTCGTAGTCGGGTTAATCAAGATGCTACCTAGAGTCTGAGAGATGGTTGACTGGTTCGATTCTCCCAAAACAAAAATAATAATTTTCATGAATATTTTCAAACTAGGAGATTTCAGTCGTATCAATGGTTTACAGTGATAACAGTATGTATCATGTCAATCTGGATTTAAATACTTGTATATAGTGTGAACAATAAAGCCAGAAGATAGCATAATTATGGGATAATACTAGTTATGTATGGATAAAAATCTATTTAGTAAAATGAGTTAAGATCAATAGCGTGAAATCATATGAATTCATCTTTTTAAAAATAGACTGAACCATATGTCGAAGTTATTGTAAATGAAGAAAGTTTAATGCGTATTTGAGAACACTTTATAAGAATTGGGGGATGATAGATGTTTTGGTTGCTAACATATTTGAGTAAAAACGGGTGACGCATTAATTGTTAAAGGAAAATGAATATATCAATTTTCTTCCAGTTGATGTGAGCGGAACGTAATTGTGGACCTTGTGGTAGGTCATTCTTTTTCCTTGCTGTGATATTCACTATATATCATTAGCAAAAAAGGGTTGTTAATAGATTTGGTCACTTTTTTTCCCGATCATGCAAGTACACTTTCATCAGCTTATAAGAATAAGACCCTTTAAATATGACATGTATCTAGCTACACATATCAGTTAAACTTATATCCACAATATAATGTATTAATAAGTTTCACTTGAATTATTATCATTGTAGAGTAACTCTGTGGTTATCATACCTTAACTCTACTTTAAAAAAAGGAGAAATCTATTAAAATGTAACTTAACTATTTTACATCAAATTTTAATGCTTGAAAAGATTAATCTAAAGAAGTACAAAACATTTTTTTAATCACTATTCTTAAACTGACACGCCAGACCGATAGGTCTTGTGTTTGAATCTCATTGGATGGGATCATGGATACGCACTGCTGAAGTATCCCTACTCGGATAAAATGACCATCCAGTTTTTCCAGTTTCATGAATTCAACTATTAAACTATTAACATGTAAAAAGAGAACTTTATTATGATTTAAATTCACTTGGTATTATTTTACTTGTATCTTCCTACTGTTATTTAAGACTGCAATTGATCAGTCTCATGTTGGCATAGGTACATCTTGTGCGGATTGCCTCGATATATCCTTAAGTCACAAGGTTTTTAAGCAAAGATGGCTAGTGGCCAGCATTGAAATCCAGGATTCGCGTTTCTGGGTTTGAGTTTCGGAGTGAACATCAACTCTGGGATGCAGGTACATGCAGCTGATGAGTCCTAAATAAGATGAAAAGCACATCCTGGATTTCACTGCTAACCACTATCCATCTTTGTTTATCATGATTTGTGTCTGTTGTTAATAGCTAAATCTATGTAACATTATTAAAAAAAATACATAATGAGCTTTTATATATTTTGTACCATTCTCTTATTTCCGTATTAAAAGTGTTTTTTTCCTCATTTTTTGTTGTTGTTTCTAGCCGGAAATATATCCCAATAGATTCAAATGATAATTATTCAATAAAATTTGTAAATAATTTCTAATTTGTAAATTGATCATCTCAATTCAATCTTATTGATCGTTGAAAAAGTCTGTTCTTTTTTCACTGAGAGAGAAAGAGGGAGAAGGTGGGGGTGGGGAAGAGAAAAAAATCTTTACTCAAATTTTATTATTTTACCCCAAAAAAAATTTTTATATATTTTTTTGTAATGTTCCATATGAGAATTGATCATTTCATGAAGAATATTACTGAAATAATTTAATAAATCATCATTATGTTAACAAAATTGATCATAATTTGAAAAAAAGCATTTCTATAACCAAGTTCTCATAATGAAATTACAATCTGTACAGAAAACATCGAAAACAAGTAAGAGCATTTATTTCTTTTTTTTTTTCGTATCTATATAATCAATATATTGATTAATTGTATTTTGAAAACATTTTATCTTGTTGTTATATGTAAAGATGGATAGTGGTTAGTAGTGGAAACTAGGATGCGCGTTTTGTCCTATGTTGGACTCGTTCTGAATTTAAATTTCATTTCATTATACAAGCAAATGGCTATTAGGATTCAGTAGATAAATGGAGAATGTGATGGCGTTTGAAGTGAACAGTACTGGGTTTGAGTTCCGGAGTGAACATCAACTCTGAGATGCAGGTAAATTCAGCTGACGAGTGACGAAATAGGATGAAATACACGTCCTGGATTCCACTACTAGCCACTATCCATCATTGCTTACAAAAAGCTTGTGACTTAAGGCTTTATCGAAGCAATCTACACAATATGAACATATATCAATAAGAGACTGATCAATTGCAGTCCTAAACATCAATGGGTAGATTCAGACAAACATTACTAAGTTAATTTTCTTGTTTTTTTTATTGCCTCAGTTATTATGGTCTTAGACATATATATATTGATCTTGAAGTGAAGTTTCATTATCATCTTCAATAGGCTGTGATTATTAAGACTATTTGTGAGATTCAGCAAAGTGTTTGGGTGAGATTATAATTTATGGACGAACCAATCAGATATAAGATAACGAGTCTAAGATTTTGGAGCTAAATTTATTCATACATTTAGCTAAGTAGAGTTTTGACATCATAGCTGTTGTTAGTTCGTGATGAAAACCGTAAAACTAATTCCTAGCCCTAACCATCAACTGTAAATATTAATTCTAATTACTTACACTGGTTTATAACCCTCATTTAGTCCTAGTTATTAGGTGAACGTTTTTAAGGTTAATCTAGTGTCGCCCAAAGATCGTTCATAAATTATAGTCTCACCAATATTTGAAATGGTTAGTTTGAACAATGTAACACTTAGGCGTTATCTCTTATAAAAGGGTTCTGGCTTCGCACTGTTATGAAGTTTCATTTATAATTGATTTTATGTTATCACAATCTATGGTAGAGTAGAAAATCCTCGTAAGCTACTAGTATTTGACCACAGATACTTTGGAAATATTGCTGGCGTCTGCTGGGACCACCGGGTGAGTAATAGTGAGGTTAGACGCAGGGTATCAGTGCATGATGGTATATCAGTTGATGAGGTTGTGAATCTCCATCGACTGATAGGGTTGAGCCACGTGTTATGTATGCCTGAACACCGATTACCACGATGTGCAATGCTAACCGGTGTTGGATATGGTTGGAAGAAAGTTAGGGGCGGCCAAACCAAAACGTGACATCAGTGCTTGAAGTCACTGAATTCTAGTCTTAGCAATGTTGGGAGATGCAGACTACTTGGTTGGGGTCCGCGTGACTATCAAGTCTCTGGGTGACATGGCTCAGAATCGATCACAATGGCGTAGGTGTAAACACTCTCAACCGTCCCTTAAACTATGAGATTAAAATCGCTTCATATCTTTCTACGTACTAATTCTTTCTTCCTGTACTATATTTTTGTATATTACTACCATTGAATTAACTACTTCTATGAATTTGGTGTTCATCTTATTGTGCCAATGAAGTGTGGCAACTTGAACCGATGCATATATGTTCCTGGTCATAGCTGACTGACTGACTCTTTCATCCCCCCCGGCACCCAACTACTATGAGACTTCTTTCAGTGATTTGAAGGTTAAACTCGCTCCACAAGACTTGGAAGTCATGGGCTCTTACCTTGGTGGGGTTGTGGATGCGCACTACTGAGGGGTCTTAGACTGAGACGGAACAACCTTTTAGTTCCTCCTGGCTTTTAATGGTTGTCTGCCTAAGTCACTTCATGATCTCAAGAACATTGAGAAAAACTGTCAGTGTACCTAATGAAAAAAGTAGTTTAGGGGAATTTCTTGGATTCGGTGTATTTGTGAATAATCTAAACTAATAATCATCAACCGAGCATCCAAATATTCAATTCCAAACGCTTAGATTTATCATCTAATCAGATTTACTGTATTATTTTTCCCAAATAGACGATGTAATGAAGTAATAAATCTGTGACCATAGGTTATTTTATGAGGACTATGGGTAAGAACAATTTGACACACTTCAAAATTAGTAGCCGTATTGATCGTTACTTAGAAAGCAACTGAAAAAAGTCACAAAAAATAGGTTATATCTATTTGAATAAACCAATTGTAGCATCAATATTTATAAAATAGATTCAGTTCTATCGATACCAACAGTGAACTCATGAAATGACCTAGTGGATGTATATAGTTTTTATTTTTCAGATGTAAAATGCCATTTTTAAGGTTGTATGTAAGTAGAATGTTTGTTGATTGATAAATCTTCTAAATGAACGCTCGATTAGATCTCCTAGCCTCTCTTAATAATCCTAGACTGAATCTACACAACAATTTTGAAAACATGCGAAAAGGCGTGAAAACTAGTGATCAAGATTTATTTGACTCTAAACAAACCAAATTGATTTATGAGTACGTCACTTTTTATATAATTTATTTACAGTTAGATTAACAGTCAGATTTCTGTAAACTGGACTTAGTTCCATTCAATAACAACAACAATAATAATAATAATCCAACAAGTTACTGTATGATTGCATGTTTACAATATTATACGACTAAGCATCTATTAACCTTAATATGTGAAAAAATTTTTTATATGTTGTTAACATGCCACTTGATAAAGCTGTTACTCACCATATCATTGACCATCAGTGTAAACATTATTAATTAAGTATAGATGGCTTCATTTATTACCATATGCAGTAATATAAACAGTAGCATGACAAATAAACTCAATATGACGAATCTAACAACATTAAAAACATTTAATAGTAGAAAGTGGACATGCTTTCGGAAAATACAATTAACCACACAGCAAACACCTATTAGTCTTAAATTCAGTTTTATAAATTGATATTGTTTTATGAATGTTCTAATACTGGAGTTTTCAGTAGGAAATACGACTTCTGTCCATTAAACATAGGATCTCTACAACCTTGAAAGTTTGCTTTATCAGAACAACTGTGCGAGACGCTTGAGATTTTCATGAACTGCGAAACAAGTTCACGCATTGTTGAAATTAGTTTAAGTAGTTTTCACCTCCTAAATGTACTTTTTTTAGAATTCCAATATAAAATACTTGGTCTGATAATCGCTCTCTCCATTTGTAGTAGTCACTTGTAAAATGAATGTACAGAAAGTAAACTGTATTTTGTGAATAGATTTCGTTTTTTAACAACTACTCTCAGAGTTTTATAAGCAAAGATGAATAGTCGCTAACAGTGGAATCCACGACGCGCTTCTCGTCCTATTTGGGAAGCGTCAACATCAACTCTGAGATGCAAGTACATCCAGCTGACGAGTGCCAAAATAGGATGAAATACGCTTCCTGGATTCCACTGCCAGCCACTAGCCATCTTTGCTTAAAAACCTTGTGACTTAAGGATATATCGAGGCAATCCGCACAAGATGTACCTATGCCAACATGAGACTGATCAATTGCAGTCTTAAATAACAATAGGAAGATACAAGTAAACGATACCAAGTGAATGTACTTACAGAGTTGTTTTTGCAATAATGCTGTCGGGTATATTTCAATTATCTCTGCATTATATATTACCAAACTATGTACTTATTTTAATTCTGTCTAGTAAGTTATAAGAGCACAATATTGGTTCTGTAGTGAATAAGAACACCAGTGGGGACAATCGAATCCATTTAACACCAAATTACAGGACTTGTTAATAAAATCTAACAATCATAAAGTAAATGCTTAATTTGCAAAATGTCCACCAATTGTCTCAAAATGACTTAGACTTCATTGTTCTTGCATTTTCATACAAATTGCATTTTGTTTCCATTCTTTACTGTTCGATCCTCTTGTCTCTCTGCTGCCAGACTTTCTGTTCACGACTAACATCATATACTACTTATGTCACTATAAGTAGCACACACCACAGTTCTACTTCAAGTTAGTTATATTTCACTTCCTATTATAATGGAGAATTGTAATTTGTTTATGATTATGTAATAGTGTGATCAATTGTTATAAACAATTCGGATTATGACTGATTGCATAAAAAAGACTCAATTCATAGAGTTTGTCACTAAATTAACAATGTATATGAAGACAAAATAAACAAACAAAAGCTTATTACGAGATGGTTGAGAAGATTTATAGCTCAGGTGAATGATCTTGATTGAGTTTTGTTCTCTTTGCTCAGAGAACAAAACTCCATCAAAAACTTATTCCTTTTAACAGATTAACATACGACATAGAGAATGTTTAATATATCACATTATCATTGAAAACATTCATACATTTACAAGATTTATATCATTTTAAGTTACTAACCAACCAATAGAATATGAATTGAACTTTAAGACTTATTTCATTGTTGCTTGATAATTAGGACGACATTACCAAAAATTAAAGCTCATTTTTGTTTTTATCATCAGTGTTAATGAATGTTCTCATGTAATCACAAAGAGGATCTATAAATCAATAGTTTATCCCAAACTAAATATTAGAAAGTGTAAATTATTTAAATCAATTTAAAGAGAAGTTTACAGACCTAATGTTAACATTTGATTATAACAGAATATTTCAAAACATAGTCACCTTAGAAACATGTTTCTTATTAATTCTTATTATTATATTCTTTATACTTCACAGATATTATGAGAAAAAAAAGAGAACGTAAACATCGAAGTAAAATGTCTAATACTGTGACATTATCATCTTGTTTGCTATTGTCTTCATCTTTAGATCAAACGAAAACAGTAAATGATGAATTGAGTGAGAAACGTGTTAATCTAAGAAAAGAACGATCTCGTTTAGCTGCACAAATTAGACGTAATCGAGAAGGTCAAAGTTTAATGCTAATACAAAATGCTCTACCAATATCTTCTCATGTTTTAGGATTAAATTTAGTTCAACAAAATTCAAAATCATCTAATTCAATCAATGGAACGAAACAAATAAATCAATCATCAGAAAATAATAATGTAATTAATTCAGGTACAATTGGACGTGGACAAAAGAAGACTACCTATTTTAATTCATCAATGTCAAACACAATGACAGGATTTTTAACAACAACATCAACAGAAATATCGTCATCTGCAATTTCTAATATACCATCAGCTATTAATTTAGAAAAGACAAGAGTACTTCGTATTGCTGGACATACATTATTTCTTCTTAACAAATTGTCTTCCTGTAAGTTACAATGGTTATAGTTAGTAGAATACTTAATTATCTTTCCCCAGGTGGTCTATATAAGTATTGATTTCTGTTGAAGAATAAGCGTGTAACTATAAAAGTACATACTAGATTATTTTCTAGTTGTATATTCTGTAATCGTCTTTTTATGTATGACTGATATTCAAATATGTTGAAGTGATATCGAGTTAAAACATAAAGTTATAATTTTTAATCGTTGAATTCATGAGTCAATTAAAGCTAGACAGGCATGGAAAACCTGGAAGCACTGGACGGTCGTTTCGTCCTACTATGGGACTCCAGGATTGCACATCCATGATCTCGCACACGAGGTTCAAACCCAGGACCTTAGGTCTCGCAAGCGAACACTTAGCATGTAGACCATTGAGCCAGCATCCGACGGTGTTCATGCTTAACTTCAATCAATCCACTACAATATTCACAAACCCCCACCTTGATAAAATTATAATATTGTTTATTGAAACTTTGAAGATATATTTCAATTTCAAACTAATGATACGTTTATATTATTTCTACAACACAGAATTATTGTGTTGTTTTGGAGCAAATACTTTGGTTATCATATATGATAAGGCTAAGAAAAAACACGTTGTAGATGGTAATCAAAACATAGAGTTGAAAGATTCCAGCAGAATAGCATGAATTCATTTTATTTTGTTTGATTTTCGTCAGCTGCTTACAGCCTGTGATATTTAAAATCATAATTATACAATAGGTTTAAATTACTTACATGAAAGAGTTTAGTTGGAAGTTATTTTAATGAAACATCAGTATAGTATAGCAAGAGTGTGAATAAATTCTGCTAGAATCTTTGATCTCACTGTCTTCAAGATTATAAAAGGAACTATGTGTATGAAACATAGAGTTTAATTTGAATTGTATAGGTTTAGGAATGAAATCAATGAAAGTTCTTTTGTTAACTTCCTGTCACCGGTTCTGTTTACGAAATATGTTGTTTTGAAGCACAATTTAATGAAATAAATCGATTTCGCCGTGGTAAAAATGTAGTGCAATACATGTAGCATAGCAGATTTTCTAAAGACCCAAATAAATAACTATACTGAAATCACTAACCGATCTAACTTAGTCAACCGCTGAAAATCTGGTAGCACTGGAGGATCGTGTCTTCCTTTCATGGAACTCAGAAGTGGGCACCCGTTACACCTTAACCACGAATTGAAGTCAGGGCCTTCGTTCTCATGATAGAACACACCCTCTAGATTACTAAATTTGGGATCCGATAGTTTACTAGTCTTAAATCAATCCACGATACTGTACGACCGTTTTCTATTGTTTTCGGAGGTTACCTTTCTCATACCCGACACGAATGAACTTCACTGATCACGGTTTCTCATTAGAACTCCGAAATTTTTTCTCGAAATAATTCACTAGTGAATAAATAATTATTACCAGTATGTATTTGTGGAGTTTATTGAAGTTCATTTCATATTCATCCTACAAATATTCATTTATATAACTTCATAGATCCGAACTAGGCAGTATAAGTTCCTCAATACAGTAACAATCAACGATAGCTTCATGAACTTTTAGAGCAATTAGAACAACGTACTGCAGCCTATGCTCCTTCACGAGGAGTAACAAACGTAACTAAGTAAGTAAGTATTGCTACTTCAAACTACATTGCACTACAAATCTGAATCGTTGAAATTACTCTCAAGAAATTTATTATTTATGTACATAGATTAATCAATACATTAGTTTACTAAATAAATTCTTCATATTATTTTTTTTATTATCTTTGTTCATTTATTCAATTATTGAAAACAATTTAGATCTTAGATTACAAGCAAAACTTTGTTTAACTTTAAATAGTCAATCATTGTATGGTATGTTGATTGATGCAAAAGAAATGAGAATTGCTTATGTAACACCTGCTTTAGCTAAAGCTATTGGTTGGTCATGGGTAAGTTTTGTTGATTAATTTCATTTCCTGTTTTTTCTTTCTCTTATTAGTTTATATCATACTATCATATGGATTTTAATACTGTTATGTTATATGTGCATTTAATGTTATAGTAAAGTACATTATAAAGTTCAGATTCTGTGATTATTTTATGTAAGAAAATAAAAGTATATTTGACTGAAAACAAAGAATAATTACTCTAATATCTTAATTGAAGATGTTGCTAAACTAATTCATCCTGACAACCATTAGACATCTTAACTGTGATCCTAGGAATGTCTAACCACTAATTACTTAATCAGAATATAGACTCTATTGAAGAATTGTGTTCTAAGAAACAAGAAAATTACAATGGATATGATTTTAACATGATTAATGAATTTATTGAAGGTACCAATGGATTTATTAAGATAGAAATCAAAGCAGTTACTAAACGACGATTCTCCTTTATGGCTACAAATTAGTCCTTCTCTAATTGAAGGTAGTTCTTTAATATTTTTCACATTGTATCAACGTTATTAGGGTGTTTGGTCGTTAGATAGTCTACAAAATACATTTTTGATCAAACACTCGATGAACACAACATTGCTTCTGATTACACCTATGAACCCTCCAATAGTCCATGTAAACTGTTTTTCCATGTAGAACACACTGTCTTATTACAGGTAGAAATGTTGGTGGCTTTCTATTTGTAATTCACTCAAAATGGACTTTCTGTAATGTTTTATGGATCAAATGTCTAGTTAATAATAAATTAAAATATGTTAAATTTGCATAGTGAAACATAGTTCGGTTTGGTCGTGGAGCTTTCATCGTTCTTCTGAACGACATCATAAGCACAAACCACAGAGAACAAAACGCCATCAAAATCATCTACCTGAGCTACAAATCTTCTCCACCATCTCAAAATGCAATTTAACCCATCACCAATCTATGAAGTTCACTAACTGGTCGTTGAATTTCCAGATGACGATTTGTCACAAATTACTGAACCAACAGTTCTAGGTACGATCCCCGGTGAAGTCGTGGTTAAGCACTGAAAAGGAGTCTCACACTTAAAACGTGTCAGCTGTTCAGGGATCCTCGATTTTTCTTGGCGGTTGAACTAAGGCCCGTTACTTCCCTACTTACTTATGCCTGTTACTCTCAGTGAAGCATAAGCCGCCAACCAGGACTCTACAACCAACTACGTCCTGGGCTCTCCTTTCCAGTTATTTCCAAGTGTTATTTATTTCTGCAATGTTCCCCTCCAATTCCCAACATAATATATTCTTTGGTCTTCCTGTTTTTTTCTTTCTCTTCCGGATTCCAAGTTAGGGCGTGCCGTGTGATGGGGTTTGATGATTTTCTCAATTTCTATCCTATCCACCAATAGCATCTTTTTCTTATTTTTTTCCAGCCGGAAGTTGGTTCCCTTGCTTACATAGTGGGTTGTTGCTAATGGTATCCGACAAAAGATATTGATTATCTTGTGTAGACAATAGTTTATAAATGTTTGTAACGTTTTAATGACGGTTGTGGTAGTTCAACACGTTTTAGCTCCGTACAACAGAACTGTTTGACGTTCGTATTGAAGATTCTGACTTCGATGCTGACTGACAGTTGTTTTGTGCCCCATGTGTTCTTCGATGGAATGAATGCTGCGGATGCTTTGCCAATCCGTACCTTCACATCTGCATCAAATCCCCCTTGTTTATCGATGATGCTTCCCACTCTTGATTTGTCTGTTCACCATGCTGACTTATTTGATGGGGCGTAGGGCGACATATAAATGAAGGTCTGTAGGTGCTGCTTCGATGTCTGGCGAGTTCATTTGGGCTGGTCAACTCAACAGTTCTCCAAAGTGCCTTATCCACCTATTGTACTCTTCTTGAATAGCAAGGACTGACTTTCTCTCTGTTACTGACTGGTCTCTCTGGTTCACTATGTTTCTCTGCTGGGATTTTCGTCTTATCATGTAGTCTTTCCATATTTCATTCTCTTGAAGCTTCTTCTGCTGTCACTTTTGGGTCTTCCACGTAATTCCTCTTGCTGTCTCTAATTCCCCCTCCTGACCCTCATTTTTGATTCTCTCTTCGAACTGTGCCTTGACTTTCTCTGCTCTTGTTCAACTGTTGTTAATTACTGTGTTCTTGTTCTTCCCCACTTGAATCTTATAGCAGAATATCAATAGAGATCCATCCTTTATGACGGTGCTTCTTGAGGCCCGGCACATTCCCGAACGTCGAAGGTAGTGGTCTTTTGATCCCTTCTCAACTGTCATCCATAGCAGTTTCTTCTTTTTCGAGCAGATCTTGTAAGGTTTAGAACCTGTTGTTGAGAGCTATCTTAAATTCGTCGAGTATGTCATCATCTCGAAGAAAGGCTATATTGAATCTCAATAGTACTGTCTCTCGGTGATCTAGTGTTTCTCTAGCCTTAGTTTCATCTTGGCACCCACTAGATGGGGATTTGAAGCTATGTCAGTTTCTCTCCTGATTATCATGTCTTCTATCGATGCAAATATGATCGATCTGGTTCTTTGTAGTCTGACCGGTCAGACCCATGTAGCTTTTTTCTGCGTTTTGGGGGAATATTGTGCTTATTATAACCATTTTGTTGAATGCATATGAATTCGCAAATCTCTCATCGCTCTCGTTCCTTTCTCACAGTCTATGATGTCCCATGACATCGCGATACCCAGTGTTTTCCGTTCCGACCTTGGCGTTCGGCTGTCCCATTAGGATTGTTAGATCGTTTCCTGAGTACTTCTCTACGATCGACTGCAGCCTCTAATAGAACTGATCTTTATTGCCTTCGTTGTTATAATTGGTTGGTTTATAACACTGGGTAATATTCGCTTTAATCTCCTAGTTCTTTGCTTTGAAGACGCTATAATAATAATAATAATAATAATAATAATCCTAGATCCATGAGATTCCCATCCTGTAAGAGCTTTTCGTGCTTCTATGAACAGCATCAGTGCAACTCTTTGTATGTGCGAAAAATTTTCTTCTTCATGACGAGAGTACAGCAGTTTCTCTCCTAAATCTAATCTCTCCTGTTCAGCTTGAGTTGCATTTATTCCAAGCACCGCCTAGTTTTACCTCCTACATTATCCGGATATTTCATGTACCGATATAAATTGTTGCTCTGGTTGTTAGAAGGGACGTTGGCCTCCTAGCCTCCGAAAAGTCTCGGCTTTCTTCATGAGACGTCATAACCTTTCTAAATCAAGATTCTTTAACTCCCAGGACAGAATTTAAATGTTTTTTTCTTGTTAGAGTTTTTTAAAAAAAAATTAAAGTTGTAAACTATGTAATAGTAGGAATACTAAAAGAATTCAGTCCTCATGATGATGTATTTATTATTGAAATAAACTATAAACTAACTAGTTCTACTTTGCAATGTGATCTCTTTAGTTAGTTTCTAAATAATTTATTGTTTCTCATCGAATACATTCTATCGAGTAAAATGTTTACCGTTTTTTTTACTCAACAGATAAAACTTTTAGGTGCTCCTTTACATAAATTAATAAAATCTACAGGACTGTCTCAAAATTCTACAGAGACTCATACAAAATTATCATCTAAATCTCAATATTCTCCATTCATTTCATCATCTCATTTCAATAAAACAATGAAAGCTTCAATTACTTGTTCCTCTTATCCTATTCATGAAACTTCTTGTACAAATCTTACTTCTATCAATAGTAATAATGAATATATTAGTAATATTACTGATAATGAATTTATTTTACCGGAATTTATTACTTTGTTAAAATCCAACTCTAATGAACAACATTTATTGTGTACATCAAAAAATAATAAATTGGATGAGAGAATATTGAATTCTTCCTTGATATTGGATAATAATATAAACAATAATAATAATAATAATAATAATAATAATACAATGAATACCACATTTTCTGATGTCAATGATATAAATACAAATGAATTTACTGGTACCATTTCAAAATCTCATCGAATAACCAATTCAGATCCATATTACAATAATAAAATGAAGAATATGAATAAATCTATTAAAAAATCTTCATCTACACCATTGATATCATCTAAATTAGAATTAGATAGATTTATACCTGGAAACAATATTACAAATATAATCAATTCATCTATTGATAGTAACAATAATTGTAATTTCGATGATCAATTGCATACAAAATCATCTCCTCAAAATAATAATGATAATGAATTGGTAAATTATATTGAAGATTGTATTTCTGTTGTGTTTTTTTTTTGACATTTATTTTAATCAGAGATGGGTTTTGTGAATATATTATAGTAATTTAATAGTTGGATTCATGAGTCAATTGAAGCTAGATCACCAGGGAAATTCGTCCGTTGTGTGTGTTAATGCCAGCTGAGTGGTCTAAAGGTTAAGCGTTCGCGTGCGAGACCGATAGGTCTAGGGTTTGAATTCACCGAGGCGGGATCGTGGATATGCACTGTTGAGAAATCACATCCTATGACGAAATGGCCATCCAGTACTTCCAGGTTGTCAATGGTAGTCTAACATCAATCGATTCATGATCTTGATCAAAAACTTAATAATCTCCACAGTCCCATACTAATAATTACCATGTACTCACTAGTGATTAGCTTCGTGAGGGAATTCTCGGAGTTCTAGTGAGAGGCCGTTACCAGTGGAGCTAATCCGTGTCGGGTAGAGACAGGTATCTTCCACAATACAATGGAAGGTGGTCGCGCATTTTCGTGGATTGGTTGAGGTTACATATTAACACCATTGGATGCCAGTCGGCTGAGTGATCTAGAGGTTAAGCGTTCGCGTGTGAGACTGAAGGCCTTGGGTTCGAGTCGTGGATGAGCACTTCTAAGTAGTCTCACAATAGGACAAAACGGCCGTCCAGTATTTCCAGGTTTTCTATGGTGGTCTAGCTTCAATTGACTCATGATCTCAACTATTAAATTTATTTATTTAGTTAGTTAGTTAAGGTGGTTTCTTAAAATTATTTATCTGTTTTAATTCTATTGAACTTTGTACAATATGCTGTTGACTTTATTTTGAATAACTTATTGAAAAAGATTATGTAGACGAATACAAAAATGAGATCATAGTGTTTAGATGAGAATAAGATAAAACATACTGGATGGTCAGACCAATTGTACACATCTGCCTAATAATGGTCTTGTTTGGGTTGCAAACAAGGTCAATTTTTAACACAAGGATTATTTTAAGTATAACCTTGGTATAGTTATTGCAAGTACTAAACTAATTTGTTTTTATTCTGAGCAAAAGGATATTAAAAGCGTAGTAGTTGTTTCCTTAATTTTGTCTCAAAATTTAAGTGTAAGTCTTTATTAAAGTATTCTAAATTCTGCTTCTGTAATAATGATTTTTGATTAGTCATCCAATTACATTATAATCTCATTAAAATCATGAAGTGATCTAAGTTAGACAAACATTAAAATCCTGAAAGCACTGGACGGTCATTTCGTCCTTCTATGAAACTGAGAAGTGAGCATCCGTGACATTTCAATTAAAAATTGAACTCACAGCCCTCGGTCTCGCTCACGAACACATAATCTATCGACTACTCAGCACACTTTCGACGAAATACAAGTCTAATTTCACAATGTCGCTCAATATTTATCCATTACCTATGGTGAATAACTGTCTCATAACCAATATCGTTGAACTCCACTGGTCTCAGATTCTCACTAGAAATTCGCGAGTTGTATCTTGAATCTAAGTACTAGTGAGCACATGATGATGATTAGAGTAGAAGAATGTGTGATTATATATATATATATATATATATATATATATATCACAATGAGCATAAGTCTGTTTAACTACGCTCACCACTCAGTTCCACCCGATAAATGAGTGAAACCATTTCAATTCAACAAACAGATTGAATTATGACTTTGATAATCCTATTTGAAGAAAATATCCAATGAATTTCAAGAAATCATTTATATGATTATTGGTAAAGTTGTAAAATTGATTTCGTACATACTGACTTCGATGATTATTTGTTAGGTAGCTCTATTTATATGTGTTTTGAAATTTGTTTTCAGTATATAGATTTATTTTTCGATTGAAATAACGAACTTATACTAATTAATATTGAATGAATTATGGGTTTTCTTCATAAAAATTTTATACTGTTACCCATACTCTATAACTTCAGTTAGACAGTAATGTATCGATAATAAAACTGTTGAAAAATGTTTATCTACACAGTTGAAAATACATTGACTTGTGACTAGAAACTTATGAGTGACTTGTTCGTCAATGGTTTTATCCAATGAAAGTTGAATAATTTCATGAGTTGTGTAATTCCCCGTAAGCTATCTGTTTGCATATTGATTTAAGTTCAGTTAAAAGTTTCAGATTAATGGTTTGTTCAGTCTTGAGTGCTGTTAAAGGTAGGAAGGCGGTTATCACTTCTCGGTTGCTCACGCCGTGGAAGGGTTCTCTAAGAGGTGTCTGAAAATAAAAGTGGTTCAGAGGTGGTCCTAGTGACCTGGGAGCGTGACGACAGGTCAGTTACACACGACCTTTTTGTGGGTAATTTTTGTGTTAGCTCCGTACTTGCTGAGATCTTACCGCCGGAGACAGAAATCCGTGGGATAAGGCGAGGTGTGCATTTTTAAGGTCGACCTTTTCTAACCCCACCCTTCTTCCTTGTGGGAAGGCAGCATCGTTGTTATGCTGGTTGTCTGAAGGAAACACCATAAGGCCACCACACCTCTGTACAGTTGGCAGTGCGACTACGCCCCTGAACCTTGGGTTTGCTGCTTTTAGTTCTATCACTCTTCAACCGACCTGTCTGGCATGGTAGGACCTTGAGGAACAGTTGTTCCAGTCAGTATAGCTCGGTTGGTTCATCACGATAGGCAAGCCCGACCATTGCGTCAGGGTAGCAGCGACGGTCGGGATTGTTATTGGAACATATGAACAAAGGTTACAGAGTGTAACAGTGTAAACTAGCAAAGAGATTTAAAAAGAACACTGTAATACGGAAAAATAAATTCATGTTGAAGAACTATGAACATACTCAATTTTAAGTTAATTAACGCTCAATCAGCCTTGCAGACTTTCTAGTTTAATCAGATTTTACTATCCGTTTATTTCATGTAGATCTTAGACCATCATGAACTTTAGGATACTAGATCAGTTTGAGAAGAGGACAACTACCATTTCTTATAGACTGGAAAGATCAACGGGTGGTGTTCACTATGAATACTTTAGTATTTAATATTTAGATACTTAGGCCCGTAAATGTACTTGGTTATGAATCCAAAATAACATACCATAACAAAGCAAACATAATAAACCACAGTAAGTACATAATTAGATGATTGTTTATGTGAGGCTGAATAATGCATTTATCATTAATCTAACCATAAACAATAGATAATAAGAGATAAAGGAATAATTAGTAGATGAAAGGTTACCATAATTTTGGAACTAAACAAAAATATAAATTAATTGTTTAATAAATACATATCGGGATTATATACCAAAGTTATATATATATGCAAGACATGTAATTCATTTGTAATTACACTTACAGTTCATTGTACACCATACCAAATAAATGACGTTTAATCAGCTTATGCTCAATTCGAATGAATTGATGAATATAATCAAATTGGTATTGCTTGTTTGAATTTTTCCATTGATGTTTAGAACTTCAATTGACCAGTCTCTTATTGGCATATGTTCATATTGTGCACATTGCCCCTCGATATTGCATGAATTCACAAGCATTACATGCACGGTTGGATAATGGCTGGCAGCGGAATCCAGGACGCGCGTTTCCTCCTATTTGGGACTCATCAGCTAGATGTACCAGCACCTCAAAGTTGATGTTCCCTCTGAGGCTCAAACTCAGTGGATAACGCGATGGCTTTCAAAGCAAATGGTATTGGGTTTGAGTCCCAGAGTGAACATCTACTCTGAGATGCAGGTACATCCAGCTGACGAGTCCCAAATGGGACGAAACGCGCATCCTGGATTCCACTGCTAGCCACTATCCATCTTTGTATATAATGATGAATAGAAGTTTTAGTCATCAGATACTTCGAAGTTAAACTTGAAAATTATTATGATTATTAATTTATTCTTAAATAAATAAACATTACTGAATTAGTCAGTTTATATTTTGAAAATATTACAGATATGTTACTGTTGGGGTAATTTAATGATCAATACATTTACTGATAATTCAACTGGATTCAGTGAAATTTTGAATTCATTAGATGAATGTAATGTAAATAATAGTTCCACTGATGATAGTAACTATATCAATGGTGATGATGATAATGATTATGATGATGATGATAAATCTCTAATCAATAATGAATTATTGGATATATTAATGAAGGGTTCATTTATTCAAGATTCTTCAACTTTTGAATCTTCATGTGATAATTCTCACCCTTTTTCCATAATCAATAATCCATGTAATTCATGTGATAGTTTTGATGAGATCAGTTCAACTTTATCTACTGGATTGTACTTATGTCTTTTACAGCCTGTATGTAGTAAAAATTCATCATTTGATGATTTGACAAATCATGTGTATTCCATAAGCAACGATACTGAATATAATCATAATAACACTATTAGTAATGATAGTAATGATAATAATATTGGTGGAGACGTAAATCAAAATAATCTCTTAGATTCATCTGTCCATTTACTTGAAGATTCACAAAAGTCAGCTGCTAATGATAAACAGGATTCATCAATTTCTTGTGAGTTACATAAAAGCATCAATATTAGACAGTCAGATGAATCATTAACGGAACTCTCCAATGTTGATACAACATCATCATCATCATTACTTAATGTATCGACGTCAATGAAAATCCCTTCCCTTGAACAAAACAAGGAATGTAAACAATCAAAATCTTTCCAATGTCATATATATTTAAATTGTGCTTTGACAATAAAAATGGTTCAAGGAAAGTAAGTGATTCTTGAAGAATTTCTGACTTTACTGTATTTAATAAATAATGAAAATAATATTTTTAGTACAGGGGTTTGCGAAGATCGTTGATTGTTATTGAGATTTGGAATTGACCTCTGCTAGACAACCATTTAAAATAAAGAAGCACACAAACAACTGTTTCGTCTTATCATGAGATCCTTTTGTAGCTAATTCCCGCATCTCTTCCAGGGCTTAGACGCCAAACCTTGATATCTCTCATAGATAACTCAACCTTTATGTTGTTGATTCGGGATTTCATAGTTTACGCTCCTGAGTTTAGTCGACTGGTGATACTGCATAACTGTTTCCTCATGGCACTGGTGGACAAATGCTTAGCGTAAAATATAAATTAAATTCACTGCCCATTCAGAGTTCATACGCGCTTTGTCTTACCTTAAACCGTGAGATCAAAACTGCTTTATACCTTTATTTCCACGAACTAATTCTATCTTCCTGTATTATATCCTAATACACAATCTTTATTTTATATATTACTACCACTGAAGTAACTACTATGAATTTGGTATTCATCTTGCTGTGCTAGTGAGGTATTGCAACTTGGATCGATGCATATATGTGCCTGGTCCTACGTTGTAGCTGACTGACTGCCCACTCACTACTTTCTAATAACACCCCGTCTTTTCTTCATCTAGAAAACTTATGTGAAGCCGTTACCTGATCATTAACACACTAAGTTTTCAACCAATCAATCACTGGTTAAAATCCCTGTCCATCTTTCGGAAGCTAAGTAATATCATTATTTTCATACAAATATCGTGGCTCAGTGTTTAAATGATGAACATTTATAATAGTCACATGATATTAATCAAATTCCATTGCTTGATCAATTGTTGTAAATCTTCCAATGTTAAATTATCCTACTATATTTGTGTCGATCGTAAATCTGTCTATAAAATAAAACTCTTCGAAAATTGATTACTTTTTGATACATATATCAATAAAAAGTTTATGCAGATTGCTGAGTTTTAGTCTACTTCATGGTCTGGTCTTAGACGACCATTAAAAATTATGAAACAGTACCCAGCTATTTCATCCCAAGTAACATTAATCCTCAACAGTGTGTATCCAAGATACAACCGTAGATCGGGACCAACATTAAAACAAGCGTTGTTTAAATTTATCAATCACACCTACCTCTTACATTTATGAACAGTTTTTCACACTTCCCTCCTTCGTATTCCACAAATCTGTTGCCTTATGATATTATCAAGCTTAAAAATGGTATGATTAGTGATTAGTATTTTAAGATGGATATAAAGGTGATTGGCTTTTCAGTAATAATGAGGTCTAGCAATCATACTACTGATAATTTAGATTTAGGCTCGAACGTGATTACAGTTCGAGATAGTTGGAATCCCAGTATGCTATATCTTTATATATTTGCGCGAGAAATCTGTGCATCTGGTAATAATATTCAAGACACATTACGATAACACTTGGGCCAATCACTATTTTTTTTAGATGTTTATAGTTATACCTTTAAAATCGATCATTTGGGGCAAAAATAGAAACCACAGTCATTTTAATATCATCCAGGGACCAAACCCAAGACCTTCAGATATCATGGAACGCACTTGAAGATAAGACTATTTGATATATACATGATATTCGGATGAAAACACGTTTAAATTAGAGAATGTAAACTTCTAGTTAAATGAAAGAAATGGAATAATAGAATGATCTAAATATCTTTACTTATATTTTTGTATTCAAACAGCTTGTTTATAATTTTTCTAATATGCTTGATTACATTTTACAGTTATACAGACTGTTTCGATATTGAAGATCAGAGTGGTATAATCAATTATTCTTATCTTGAGTTTATTCATCCTGATGATCTACAAAATGTTATTACTATTTTTAATAGAAGTAGGTTTCATTCTTATTGCCAAACATTGAAAATTAATAATACTTCATATTGAAATTTAATCATGACTTACTGTTAGTGAAACGAAATATATACTTACTTACTTACACCTGTTACTCCTCGTGGAGGAGCATAGGCTGCTCACCAGCATTCTCCATCCAACCCTGTCCTGGGAAATCCTTTCCAGCTCTTTCCAGTTGTTATTCGTCCTTTTCTAACAACCAGAACAACAATTTTTATAGGTACACGGAATGTCCGGACAATAATCATAGGAAACAAAATATATATTGAAATCAATTTAACAGTAATGAATTAATCATTGAAAATCTTATAAAGCAACAACAATAGATTCGAACATAGGAGTAAGCAAGTTTCTACTGAAATATTAACTTATTCTGATTAGAATGGATAGGTAGTCAAGACAACTAAGATTACAAATCATATTAACTAACTGCATATTTGTTGAATATAGAATGTTCCCATATACAACTTTACTTTATAGTCTTACCTAATGACAATATGTGATCACCCTTAAGTATAACAGTCATAGTCATTGTTATATGATCTGATTTTAATTATGTTTTTACAAAATGGAATGTCATTCAATCCATTATTAGAAATGTCTTTTGTGAAAATTGACTGAAATAATTGAATACATTTCAAGAAAGTAACATTCTATTTGATCATTGGGTTATATAAAACACTTTCAGTTAACAGCGAGTTCTTAATGTTCCTGTACATTATGATAATAAGATCGGATAATATCAACAGATAAGATCCCAAAGTTTGATTTTTGACTGTTATCCCGATCGAAAATTATTAATGGAACTTGTCATTATTGAGGTCTCTTAAAATTGAAACTTACTGTTTTCTAATTTTTGGTAACCCTCTAAAATTCCTAGGAAACATTTTCAGCAACTTAAAGAAAGATGAAACTCTAACATCATTCGGGATTTAGTAGAAACTTTTCAAAGAGTTTTGGTAAAATGGTAGACTATATGTTATGTTCATCAAATTTCCAGACTCATCTAAAATGTTGTTGTACACGGACTTATATACAACTTTCTTCACTGTATCTAAACTAACATTAGAAGAAAAGTTCTTTCCGTATTTCCCACCTTTGGTCGTTCTTTCAAGGTTGAAGTTTTGGAGGCATTTGGAAACTAGGGAATGGTTAGTAGTCAGTATTAAGCAGCCAATTACCAGAAACATCATTGTTTTTTCATTATGACATCTCTTATACAAAATATTGTTGTTAAGACAACAATACATTCTAAAACAACTGATGATTTGATCAGCGAGTACTCTACCATTCATTCATTGAGTCAGATAGAATTTTAATAAAATGTAATAGAAATAGATTAGTAAGTGATTCTCAATCTTAATATCAACACTGGGATGTAGATCTATCTAGATGAGTAGTTCTAAATAAGATGAAACTCACCCTATGAATTCTACCGTTAACCACATATCAGATTAATAAAAGCCAAAAATATTCTGTTTTCATAAAATATACATTTTCCTTATCTATTTGTCAACATTAACTTTTTCGATGCTCTTTTCTTTATACAATTCTCTTTAGTAATTCATACAAATTCTCTGGCATGGGTCAATCCATACAGAGTATCAGTACATAATAAAATGGTAAACAATAATACTGAAAAATCCTATCGTTGGATACGTAGTTTAGTATCGTATAACAAAATGAAAAATATTTTTATATGTTCCAGTCAGTTTCTTGGGTAAGCACTTGTATTACAAAAGTTAACATTGTATGCTGATTGTGTATGAATTTAACCTATTTCTTCTAGATCCTTTTTTTAAATGAATGAAATTCGTTAAAAGCTGCAAAAAGTAAATGACAAATTTAAATCATGAGTCAATTGAAGCTAGACCACCATGGATAACCTGGAAGCACTGGACGGCCGTTTCGTCCTAGTATGGGACTCATCAGCAGTGCGCATCGACGATCCCGCACCCCGCGAGGTTCGAACCCAGGACCAATCAGTCTCGCGCCAGTAAAAAGTAAATGAGTCAGAAAGAGTATTTGCACTTGATTCAAGTTAAAAAGGTCGATATTAAGTAGAATCTGTTCCTGTGCCTATTTTATAGTCACCATATGTTGAATCTGATCTCAGATAAATAATACCCGGATATTTTATATTTTCAATTATGAATAGTATTCAGTTAATCCTTGAAAAAAAAATTATCACATGAGCTGATACTTATGTTGTACAAAGTTGAAACTTGGAGAACTATTTAATTCATCATCAAAAAAAGTACTAGTATTTCTAAAGAGTTGTGTACTCAAGATACTCAATGTTTGTTGACCGGATACCATCAGCAACATTCTACTATTGAAGAGGATAAATCAGATTCCAGATGAAGAGGAAATTAGAAAAAGACATTGGAAGTAGATAGGACACACATTGAGCAAATCATCAAACTGCATCATGAGGCAAGCACTTACTTGAAATCCTGAAGGAAAACGGAAAAGAGGAAGACTAAGGAACACACTGGACTGAGGATTGGAAGTAGACATCAAAAGAATGAATAGCAACTGGAAAAGAATATTTAGAGCAAAGGAGTTGAATAGAGAATGCTAGTGAGCGGCCTATGCTCCTTCAAGAGGAGTAACAGGTGTAAGAGAAGAAAAGAGATGATAATTATGTTCAGTAATAATAAATATATCTTTTTGCTATATCTCAATGAATAGAAAATTATATTTCTGACATTTCGTGACTTTATGTAATCTACTTTTGAAGAATCAACTCGGAATAATTGTCTTATATTAAGTCACGAAATGTCAGAAATATAATTTTCTACTTATTAACTTTCTACCCAATTCTTAATTTATTTGAAACTATCAAGTCTAATCTTGGCATTGATACCTACAAACTCGTTGTATTCAATAGATTAATAAAGACTGCATATATCAAATATCTTAATATAAACTACTAATGAAAATATCATAAATGATTTAAGTTGGATTTACTTTGAATCGTTTCAGTGAGATTTTACAAATACCATTCTTCTTCTTCTTCTTTGATGTCTTACATTAACTTGGCACCCAAATACTAGGACACTATTCGATCAAATTTAGACGAAAGTTCTTTATGATTTAAGTAGTTTATGGTTTTCAATTATCGATAATAAACATTAAAATTGTATATTTAAACAAAACAAAACAAACTATTCATCCATCCTCTGAATGTGATGATTTACTCATTTGCTAACGTATCCATATCTTTAAAAATACAATAAACATATTAGTAAACAACATTTATACTATAAATTGTTCCTGTCATTGAGAAAATGTAAAAAGAAAAAAAATGGCACAATAAATAATTGAGATATACGGAATGGAATGTGTAGCTATTTTTAGCTTCCACATTTTGAAGAGATATCTACTATGGTAGAGTGTACATATGATTCCGAAAGTTGAAATTTTCGTAATTCCTATATTTGGTTACAAATAAATGGGTTTTTTTTCAAGTCTCCTTAGATTGTAAGCAAAGGTTGGTAGTGGCTAGCAGTGAAATCCAGGACGCGCGTTTAGTCCTATTTAAGACTCATCAGCTGGATGTACCTGCATCTTAGAGTTATTGTTCACTCTGGGACTTGAATGCAGTACCGTTCGCTTCAAACATTATCACGTTATCCACTTAGCTACTGAGTCCTTATAGCCACAAGTTTGTTCAATGGAGTGAAGCTTAGATTCATTTCGAGTCTCGGAGTGAACATCAAATCTCAAATGCAGAACATCCAGTTGACGTATCCAAAACAGGACGAAACGCGTGTCATGGATTCTGCTGCTAGCCACTAACCATCGTTACACATAATGCTTGTGACTTAAGGCAATATCGAGGCGATAAGCACATTATAAACATATGCCAATAAGAGACTAATCAATTGCAGTCCTAAACATCAATGGGAAGATTCAAACAAACAATACCAAGTGAACTTTTTAGATCATGTTACATTTTTCATTTGACTGCTCTATTCTTAATCTAATTTCAACTAAACAAGCAAGATTATATTCATGCACAAGTTAGACTATATGATTTCTGAGACCAACTGTACAGAGAATGAGCCTGAACTTCGATACCATTGAATGATAGTCTTATGATGCAACGAAACATATTGAAGTTGATAAATGTGAACCATTACACGTGGATTTAAGTGGATGAATGACTGAACATTGATGAGCAGTTTTAAACTGAAATGAAACAAATAGTTCAATAATTCATTTTCGAACTAATATTAGTATGGAATGTAAACTATTTTTATACTAAATACAAATTTTCGATAGGTTTCAAGTATGTTGAGAAAAAATGCAGGCTAAATTAAACTATTCATAGTGATAAAGAATCTGATAAAATTGGTTGGTTTAAACTCATGAGACAAGCATACTGAATCATTAGTACACTTTGTCATTACTTATTCTGACCTCAATTACAATAATGAAAACTTGATATGATATATTTTGTGTACAAATATTGCTGTTCTGTGACATAAGTCATGAATCATATTTTTAAAAGGTCTATTTTGGTGCATAATACATGTTTGAAATAGAAGAATTGTGGAAAACGTTTTCTCTGAGGATAATTTTATATTTAGCTAAGTGATAACAACTGAATAATTTTCTTTCCTGATCACCATCGCTTAATTAATCCAAAAAAATTACTGGGTACACTAAAACTTCTTAATAACAATTAGTTATAAGAATATAATACATCATGGATCCTTGACACTTTTCAAGAATACGGAGTAAAAGAATTTAACAGAATCAACCATGTTGTTTTATCATTCAAAATTGTTATATCCAATCGCTTATCAGAGATTTATAATACTGGGAATATTAAATGTATGTTCGAGTGAAAACATAAGTATATAATCAATACCTATACAATTATACTTATTCTGTATGCTTTAATTTACGAATTTCATCATTCTTCCTGCTTTTTATTGTAAGATGTTTAAAGGTAATCAACAAGAAACCTTGTATCATGGTTTTGTGCGAGTGGACAATTACAACCAAGGTATAACTCCAGTATTGACCGAATTGATGTCGCTGGTAGATTCAAATCCATATTACCCAGTTCCACAGTCTGAAATGTCAGCACTAAGCTATTAAAGGTGTGACTGACAATTAATTGATTGCTAAATAATGACTGAATAAAAACGATTTGGCTAGAAAGATTTTTTGTCTAATATACAGTGAATCTAAATTACTTCTGAAATTTAGTCAATCATTCGATTTAGCAATACTGAAGTTAGCAGTATAATCTTAGTAGTCAATATGAAGAGAATCAACGACATCCATGTTTTGAAAAAATTTATTACAGCTAACCATGCATTTGTTATGTATATATTTGAACCAAATCTTCAAATACTAAAAGTGGAGTATTGACAATATTTAACCAAGTCAGTCAATCTAGTGGTCTGAGGTTAATTTATTAAAGATGATTCACTTCGCGACCGTTATCATCATGACGTTAAACAATTTTTGATTTCAGTATATATTTAATGAGTGAGAGCTTATGGCGAACTGTCATCAAAACTGATTACATCATGTGACGTTCGTCAGGGCTGTCCATTCTCTCCATTCCTGTTTAACTTGGTCGTTGATGTGCTTTTAGAGATAACACTTTCCTCATCTAAATTTCCAGGAGTTGAACTTTTATCGGCAGATTCATTTATTGACTTAGAACATGTCGATGAGATATTTCTACTTGATGAAGACGCTGACAAAATGCAGAGTGTTCGAACCACTCTAAGCAACAATACACGCATGTTCGGAATGTGATTCTCCCCCTTGAAATGCAAAATGCTTCAGGATTGGGTTGAACCGATACCTGAAATAATGATGGGGACTGAATTAGTTGAGCGTGCCGACCGCCTCACTTGTCTGGGAAGTCTCATCAGCCCTTGTGGTCTGGTGTGTGACGAAATCTCAGCACGGATACAGAAGACTCGACTAGCTTTTACCAACTTACGTCATTCATGACGTAGGTGAGATATCCGTGTATCAACCAAAGGACGGGTTTACTGCGCAGCAGTTCGTTCTGTCCTACTTTATGACAGTGAAACATGGCCGGTAAGAGTAAAGGATATTCGTAGGTTACTAATATTTGATCATAGGTGTCTTCGAAACATTGCTCGTATATTCTGGGACCACCGAGTAAGTAACACAGTTGTTAGGAAACAGTTACTAAGTAAGGGTGGGAAATCAATTGGTGAAACAAAGAAACTTCATCATTTGAGGTGGCTAGGACGTGTGTTAGGTATGCTCATCCCCGACTCCCCCGACGAGCAGTGTTTAATAGTGTAGGAACAGGTTAGAAGAAAGCTAAGGGCGTCCAGACCAAAACATGGCACAAATCCACTGACAAGTGGACTGAGTCATGTTGGTAGGTGTACACTACCTGGTTGGGATCCGCGAGTTGATAGCAACCGATGGTTAGAAAACTTGAGTGACATGGCTCAAAATCGTTTGCAATTGCGCAGGTGCATCTACTCTCTGTGTTCTCCTACATTCTAACCTTCTGAATTCTTCATGTCCCTTTTCTTTTATTTCTCTTTCCAAATTTATTTCACTGGATTATACTCCTTCAATAACATCTTCAAACCTTAATAGTTCCGATTACTGCTTATACTCTTACTACCTCTACCACTACGGGATTTAAATCGACATTTGTATGTCTGTGATAATGTGGTATGGCGACTCGAACTGATGTACGTACTTACGAAGTCCTATGTTGTTGCTGACTGACTGACTAAAATATTTAATTAATTAATTTACACAAAACACTATTATTTTAATTTTTATAATGTTACATGTTATTGAACAAGAGAAAAAAATACACTACTGTTTATTTCTTTTATATAGATTATGTGAATTATACACTTGTGCTGTTGGATCGAATCAAAGGTTATTAAGTGTAACTTTTGAACTTTCACTTAAACAATTTGAATTAAAACTAAATAATACTATCAATGACAATTATATCTCTTCTCAAAACATAATGAAACCATTCAAATGTAATCCTTCAAATGAATATTCAATTAATCGTCGTTATCATCAACAATTGAAAAGTAAACAAGTTCGTATATCTAATTCATCATTTCGTCCGGTACGCTTAAAAAAACCATCTACATCATTAGTGATTAAAAATAGTAACATTATTAAACCTATCAAATTGTTTCCATTTCAATCTACTCAATATATAAAACAACAATCAGGACAAGGATATAATCAAATTATTTCTACAAATAATCAGATTAGTTCCATTAGGCTACTTTCATTTAATAATAATAGTAATAATAATAATAATAATAATAATAATAATAATAATAGTAATAATAATAAAGTGCCTTGTTTATCTCATTTGAATTCACATTTATATGATACTAATAAGGCTAATGATAATAGACAAATAAATTCTGTATTAAATATTTCTACAACCAAATCTTCATTGCATCATTCTCCTTCAAATATATCATCAGTTCCATATTATGTAAAATCTATGTTACCAGTAGTTAATTATACACCATCAACATCATCATTGTCATCACCTTCAAAAAAGTTAATTTTCTTATCTTCAGCTTCATCTTTACCATCATCTGTTTCAACAAAATCAATAATGTTAAATAAATTACAAACATTTAATACTTCCAATATATCTAAGAATAAATTTCGAAATGATGATAAACGTGGTAAATATATTGAATATTCAACAATGTGCCAAGACAACAAACCTACAATTTTACATAATACTACTATTACTAATAATAATATTCATTCTTCATCATATTCACAAATAAATGATCTTTACAATCAAATGGTAAGTTCAATTCATTGCTAGTATTATTTATGATTGTTATCGATGATTATGATTTGTACTTTTGTTCATTTTTGAAATAGGTAAATAGTACATTTGTAGGTTATGACAGTGTAATAAAAGTATAAGGAAAAGCATAGTACTATAGAGTAGGATTTAGAGAGATTGAGTTTGAATAGTTAACCGTTTATAGAAGCTGATTTCAGCATAGACTTATTTGTCGAAAGTTTGCTTAGAATGTATGTACTATCGATATGGGGATTTGTAGAGGTTAATAAATGTTATTAACATCATGAACTCACCATTGAAAATAAAGAAGCGCCGGAGAAGCTATTTCATCTTATGGTGGACGTTCTTAGCAGTTCACATTCACGACCCCCAACGAGGAGGAAACGCACAATCTAGAGATCTCTCAGTGATAGATCAACCTTCAGACCACTGAACCGACATCTATTGATTACATGTTTAACTTTGAGAGGAAATTTACGGTAACAAGCCGTGAACAATTGCATCTAGTCGTATCAAATGTGAGTCCACTACTCGGTAAAGACAATGAGAGATAGCTGTGAAATATTATAAATTGACTAAAGTTAACAATGCAAAATTTCGGGTTCCACACCGGTGATCCAGTGATCAGGCGCTCGCTACGAGACCTGAAAGTTCTAGGTCCAACCCCCGAAAAGGTCATTGATGCACATCATCTGTTAGTCCCACATTAGGACGAAACGGCTGTTTAGTGCTTCCGAATTTTCGATGAGTCTAATGTGGGTTAGTTCATGATCTCAATAAAGTACGAACTTTTTTTCTCTCAACTTTTTTTAACTGAGAATATTTAGGAAATCATGTCATTGTTGTTTATGTCTACTGATTATCCGGCTTAATTATAAAAAATGTTCAAGCGCTTAGATGATGTTTCCAATTCTCTAACACTTAAATGTATATATTCCGTATCTAAACATAGTGACTTTAACTGGATATCATTCTCACTTATTTTGTGAATATTTACTTGGCACAGAATCTTTAAAATGTATCTTTACCCATAATGAAATGACACAGTAAAGTATGTTTGATGAAATAATTCCTATATTTAAGTAATAAGAAGTAAATTTTATTCTTCAGATTTTTTGGCGTATTAGTATCTGTTCTAAAAATACTGAAAATTGCATCACTTACACTCATAGTACAATACGAGTTATCTAGTTAAGCAGCAGCTTTATGGTAAAATTAATTAACAAAATCTAGTTAACATGATTGAATGTCAATATTTCATATTTATGATGAGTCATGTACTTAGCTATATTTATTTAATTATTAGATGTAACATGAATATAAAACAGTTTATTTCTTACCAGTATAAGGGTTGTGGAGATTATTAAGTCCTTTATTGAGATCGTGAGCCGATTGATATTAGACCACCGTTGGAAATCTGGAAGCACTGGACAGCCATTTCGTCCTATTGTGGGACTACTTAGCAGTGCTCATCCATGATCCCGCTCGCGAGACTCGAATCCAGGACCTTCAGTCTCGCGCGCGAATCCTTAACATACTGGACCACTGAGTCGGCATGCAATTGTGTTAGTCTTTAACATCAGCCAATCCACGAAATTGTGCGACCATCTTCCATTGTACTGAGGCAGATACCTGTCTCTACCCGACACATATTAGTTCCACTGGTCACGGCTTCTCACTAGAACTCCGAGAATTCCCTCTTCGTGAGGGGTTGATGATAGGCACTGCTGAGGAGTCCCACAATAGGACGAAATGGTCGTCCAGTGCTTCCAGGTCTAACATCAGTCAGTTCATGATCTTAAAAAGTTTATTTTTTCTAATATTCATGTATATACAAAACAGGTACTTGCTCATGACAACAATAAAACATTGAACCCAATGAAATTAACTGTAAAACCTGTTTATAATGATCATCAATGGAAATCTGGAGATAATTGGTCATCATCTTTAACAGACAATTCATCACCTCATTCAGTATATTCATCTCATGGATCAAGTACATCAATCGATCTTAGTCCAAATGAACAAAATCTAACAGATTTAAGTGTGGATATGCAAATGGAAGCTACTGTTAGTGAACTATTAGAATCAATACCATTATCAAACAAATTATCGTATGATAATGACGGAGTACAAATGCATATAGATTTTAATGGTAATTCATATGATTCAAATATATTTGAGCATGAAGACTCAGAACTATTACCATTAGATTCTGATTTTGAAATTAATGAAAATTTTACTGGATTTCAACCAGATTTGATACCTGATTCAAATTTTCTCAGTAGTCCTGTTTAAAGAAATGTAAGTTTCATGTGTAAATATTTATTTATTTCGTAATAAACTATTGTTTATATAGTTGAAGGTCAAAAGTTTTTGATTATAAACAGTTTTACTATTAATTTAGTCATTAAACATGAAATGTATCAAGTTGTTATTAGGGTTTGAGATTCGCGTTTAGGATCCACGAGGTGATAGCAACCAATGGTTAGAGACCTTAAATAACATGGCTCAAAATCATTGGCGATGGCTCAGGTGTATCCACTCTTTGTGTTCTCCTACATTCTAATCTTCTGAATTCTTCATGTCCCTTTTCTTTTATTTCACTTTCCAAACTTATTTCACCGGATTATATTCCTTCAATAACATCTTCAAGCCCTAATCTTTTCGATAACTGCCTATACTATTATTACCTCTACCACTACTGAATTTGAATCGACAATTGTATCTTTGTGATCATGTAGTATGGCAACTCGAACGGATGTACGTACGTTGTTACGGACTGGCTGACTGAGAGTTTGTTTAAATTTAGAAATACTATAAACGTAACTATTTTGACGGTTAATATTGATAGGAACGTATAGGGATTTTAGTCAGATGTAGTTAGAAACGATAAGTGATACAAAAGTGATCGAGTTTTTCTTTTTAAAGTTCAACTTGAAGTAGCTGAGATTACGCAGCTTTATCACGTGGTGTAACTGTAGATATTTTAGTAGTTCTTTTATTAAAATAGATGAATTTTAGTTAGTAGGGGAGGTCGTAATGGGAATTACAAACGTTTTAACCACGAGTGATGACAGTAGGCCTCAACATACACAAGAGAAAAACTAAGATCCTTGAATACAACACAGAGAACATCAACGCAATCACACTTGATAGAGAAGCTCTGGAACAGGTGGAAACTTTCACGTTCCTAGGAAGCATCATCAATGACGGTGAGGATCCGATGTACATGCAAAGGCGAGGATTGACAAAGCAAGGCCAGCATTCCTACAGTTGAAGAACATATGGAACCGAGAACAACTGTCAACCAATATCAAAGTCAGAATCTTCAATACGAACGGCAAGGTAGTTCTACTGTTTAAAGCAGAAACTTGGAGAATTACCACAACCATCATCAAAAAGGTACAACTATTTATAAACAATTTGTCTATGGAAGATACTCAACGTCCGTTGGTCGGGTACCATCAGTGACAGTCTACAATGAAAGAGGAAAACCAGCTTCAAGCTGAGGAAATTAGGAAAACTGTGGATGTGGATAGAACACACATTAAGGAAGTCATAAAACCGCATCACAAAGCAAGCGCTAACATGGAATCCTGAAGAGAAACATAAAAGTGGAAGGCCTAGGGACGCACTGAGCGAAGAATTGGAAGTAAATAAGAAAAGGACTGCCCAGAACAGGGTTGGATGGAGAGTGATGGTTGGCGGCCTATGCTCCTCGAGGAGAGTTAAGAAGTATAAGTAAGATTTTTTATAAATTATCAGAATTTTCAACGGTTTAAACACTTTACTTATTAGATTTTACGTAGTACGTTAGATACCTATATAAAAATGAGTACGTTTTTAGTGGCCTGAGATATGACTCCAGGTAGGTCGTATGGATGATTGTTGTCAAAATATACATCCTCCCTATCCTCTTATGTAATCATCGACTTAAATTGCGTTAGTAAATAACGGAATTAGATAGGTCAAATACGAGAATGCATTTCAAATATATATATTTTGTATAGTCGTTGATCGGAACAGACAATCAAAGAGACGTAGCGAAGGAAGCGAAGAGAAGATAGCAAAACGAAATGACGCGCGATGGAGAAGGCGTACGAGCCAACTCGATTTAATCAAGCATGGATCAATATTTGTAGTCAGATAAAAATAAGTTACAGACATGTGATGGGTAAGATAGAAAATGCACACACATACGATTACATAAAAACAGTCAAGGTTGATAAGCGAATAATTAACAAAGTGAAGATGTGATTCAAGAAGAATGAATAAATTGGTCTGTCCGAAAGATAGAATAAGCTGTGTGGGCATGTATAACACTACAAACAGATAAAATAAAAGAGATCTTGATTGAAACAACTTGCTTAACTAACTGTAAAAATGTGAATAAAGCGAACAAATGATATAAACCTTTTTATAATGAAGTTTTAGATCACGAAACGGATAAAATTTCACACGATTCTGATTTTAAATGGTTACTATTGGCTACGTTTTAATTGACTTCCGATTGAATCACAGAATTTCACTGTAATTTTTACTTATTTTTCAAGATTCTCTAAAAAGATTGAATAGACTTTTGGTCGTATGATCAACATACATCATTAAAAGGTTATTGTTTATCTGATAACTTTTGAGCGCATAGTATTTGTGACCAGTTGATAGGCGAGATTAGCTCATTTATTTTAATTTTTAAAGCATAATTCAAACGATAGATAAAATTAGTGAAGCTAGAATGATGTTTTCTTAGAAAATCAGATGACTGTTTTGAGAAGAACGGATAGATTGGTATGTCCAGAAGCTAGAATAGACCGTGTGCGCTCGACACAGGACCCGCCACTACACGTTGCTCTCGTTCAGAAAAAAAGACTATAATTTATGGACGAACTAATCAGACATAAGAGTCTTGGATTTTGGCACGAAACTCACCCATACATTTGTCTAATTTGCGTTTTTGCAATATAGCTGATGCCATTTTGTGATGAAAACCGTAAACCAAATTTCTAACCCTAACCATCAACTGTAAATAGCAATTCTTATTGCTCACACTAGTTTATGGCTTTCATTTAGTCCTTGTTGGTGGGCATTCTCACGGTCACTTCAGCGTCGCTCAAAGGTCGTCCATAAATTATGATCTCACAGAAGAAGTTTTCAAACTAATGGCAAACACTTTATCTTAATAACTGTTGCTAGTATACCTGTTAAAAAAGGCTTTAAAATATTATATTTTGCTTTAGCCGTATAATCGAGGTAGAATCCAATTTTCATCTAAAGAGATGACCAGTCTCCTGATTTTCTATACGATATTGCGTAACGTCATAGAATCATCGAAGTATCGAGTATCACGTTTACTTGCCAACAGGCTACTAATTGTCAAATATACCCCCCACAAGTTAGTATGAGTGTCAATTAAGTTAAAATCAAATCAACATCTTAACCGAAAGCTAAGCGTTTTAGGTATACATGAATACCTTTCCCCATTAGTTACTGACGAATGGGGTTACAATTACATTCAATTAAAATATAAATCGTTCGCTTGTTGATGAAATTATCTTTTTGAAACAACATCAAAAAACCATACTGTACAAAAGTATCATCAATGAACAATTAGGATTTTTAAGAAACATTTTGTAAATTACATTTTACAAACAATCATTAGCATTTGATAAGCTTTTCGTATAACTACTATGATATGATGTGTTAAAAAGGCAATTACCACTATAGATTCGTGTTTTATTTAGAATATATAAGAACATAGAGATAAAAAATGAAAGAATTTTTATTATCACTAAGTACTATGGCTTATTTAGAACATGATATCACTTCAATAAAGATGAAGCCTAAATATCTTTATTTTAATTTGTAAAAGTACTTTCGGTTGATAAGTCCCGAATATGTGCATATTGAACTTCTACAAAGTTGAATCCACGAGTCAATCTAAGCTAGACCCCCATTGAAAACATGGAAGCGCTGACCGGCCGTTCCATCCCAGCATGGGACTCCTCAGAACTGAGCATCCACGGCCCCGCACTGACTCGAACACAGGACCATTTAAATTTCACTATTAACCACGTTCCGTCTATTTTATATTAAATGTCAATAGTATTGAATCTTCAAACATTTGTAGTCATTCAATAACGTTTACTTATAATGAACGCCCAAGATTTAATGAGAATATTCTCTATTGAATTATATAGAAACCCGGTACAATCTATAAATTGTATTAGAAAGAACCCACGAAAGGTGATTTGTAGATTGTTTTAAATAGTATGTTTAAAAATACATATTTTATCCTTACACTTTTATTGCTTTTTTAGAAAAGAAATGTACCGAATTCAAATAAAACAAACCCTTAATTGAAATTATGAAAGAAGCTTGAATCCTATTCTTAGTTACATCTTTAAAAGAAGAAAATAATCAGTAAACTGTTCAAAGTGAACAAATTTCGATCATCGTCATTTCATGACTGTATAGTTTTTTGTGATTTTGTCTTCATTTAAAATGTTATTTATTGAAAGTGAAAATATTGCTTAGTTCCTTTTTGATATATCCTTACTCCTTTGACTAGTACTTCCTTACCTATCTATCTATTCATATATTTGTGTATCTACATAATTACCTTACTTAAATAACTTATTTATCTGTATAATTTATATTCAATGTTAACCCCGCATTGTTAGTCCAGAAGAGAATTTGATATTTAAGAAAATGTGTAGTAATGTATACAGAAGTAATTTTGAACGAAAACATGAAAAAGAAAAGCATATTTCTATTCAATAAGAACAAATTATTTTTTTATCCATTGACTTCTTGTTAAGTTACGAGGCGAGAATACAAAGGAGAAAGAGTGAAAGAGGGAAATAGACGGAGAGAGAGAGAAAAAAGTGCGAAAGAAAGTTAAAATAAACATAGATTAAGAACATTTGAAAAAAAAGGAATTGCAACTTACAAATTTTTTAAGCAATGATGGATAGTGGCTAGCAGTGGAATCCAAGACGCGTGTTTCGTCCCATTTGGGACTCGTCAGTTGGATGTACTCGCATCTCAGAATTGATGTTCACTCTGGGACTCGAACGCAGTACCATTCGATTCAAACGCCATCGCGTTATCCACTCAGCTACTGAGTCCTGACCATTTTTTAAATCTAGAAGAAACTAATTGATGCCAAAAATAATTGTATTTAGATTGATTTACATGAATTTACAAATTCAAAACATCACTGATGTATTTTAAACTTATGACAAGTAAAGAATTATACCTAAAACTGATATACAACCAAGATTTTCACTTGACAATATAACTTATTTTTATAACATCATTTCTTGCGCCAATAAAGATTTGTGATAAGTTTGTCATAAAGCTAAAGTAATGAGAATAATGGAGGTGGTATTTGAGAAACAAAATATTAGAGTCTTAGTTCGATTTGTCAAGTACTATAGTCATTGACAGTTTGCTTATTAAACCATTATCTTAAAATATTCCCGTAAGTCGATATTTTCATGCTTATTAGTTTTATATTACATGTTAGACATAGAAACATAATATGTAAGTCTCTTTACTGTATTGGGTTGATTATAAATGAGAACATTGATGAAGACTTCGATATCTAAATGAAAAAAACTTTTCTCTCTGTGCAAAACTCTTTATCGTCACAACTATGATCATATTACTACAGCTAATGAACTAATTTTTCCCTTCCTGTCTAATACTTCACATATCCTGAAAGAATAGCAAAAGAATTTCAGTTGTAAAAAGAAGAGAATGTAACTGTGGTAAAATTCAAATGGATGATATCAATGTGATGAAATCAAGCCATTACTTTTGCTAAACTATACTAATTATCTCATGGAATAACAATAATACAAATGTAATCATTCCTAGAGATTTATTAACAATTAGAAAAAAAACAGATAAGGAATAATAGATTAAGAAGAACAACAAAAGGAAAATGGTAAAAATCACCAACAAGGGAAACCTGAAAAGAAAACACACTATATTCATAAGTATTTCACATAGGAAAGTGTATACACATCATATAAGATATAAGAACGTCATGAAGATATAATAAAATATGACAATATAATATTGATTTATGATACTTCTTTTTTTTCATTTCATCAAACAATCTTCATCCACATGAATAATACCATTAAAATTGTGATGAATATATCAATTAAGTATAAAATGGGATAGAAAATAGTGTGACATGGATTGGTTAATAATAAAAGAGGACCTATTTTGAAATGTTTCTTCTTCTTTAAAAAGAATAATATTAAAATAAAAACATATTCTATGGAATAAACAGATTTTCATTGGCATATGTAACATAAAGGTATGAATATTTGTTACTGAGAAGAAAGTTTTTACTAGTTTTCATTTCTTTGACAATATTTAATGTATCATTAAAGGAACAAAGCATGCGGTGGTGCGGTAGAGATGGGGGGGGGCGGAGAAAACTGTAACTGTACATACACATATATATGAGAATTATGCATATTTATTATTTGACATTCATTTGTTGAGATAATAACATGTACATAATATATTGAAATATCAGAAAATGGATAAAACACTGATCAATATATCGTTGGAAGACAGAGATACTTATATATATATATATATATATATATATATATATATATATAATCGATAAACGTTCCGAAGATTCATTTTATCGTTGCTGTTGCCCAATTTTTCTAATATCAATTTGCTTCAACTACATTGGTTAAAGAAAGTAGAAAAAAAAAACGAATATACAATAACAAATAAAGGACATATACGTATAAGCATTTACTGAATAGATATACAATAAGGACAAAACGTGATTAGGAATTAATGAAACAAAACTAAACAATCAATCAACCAATTGACAAATTTACATACCTCACATATCAAAATTTTGTCTTCAGTATGTTAGTATCTGAAAATTAGTAGTATTCACAAGAAAACCTTGATATTACTTTTTTACTAGTGAATACAATAACTTTGCATATATGGAAGATACTATTTTATAATACATACAAACACACACACACTACCATTTTCTTTTTTTTTACCAAAATGTGTAATTCAACAAATGTCTTTTGTAAATCGATTAACGAGATTTCGTTTATGTTCTGTGGTCGATGAATCGATTAGACAACATGGTGATCAAGTTTCTATTTCTTTTTTTTTTTTACCTTATTTAATGCAATGACTAAAAAGGGTAATAATAGACTGATATTATTTCATAACAATTCAGGGAATTCGTTTTGTCATAAGTAAATATCCATTTTCTGGATTATAAACAAGACATCCATAATAAAAGTAATGATGATTAGTAGAATACTGATTTTCTTATATTTTATGACCTAGTGTAAGTTGTTCCTTCAAATAATAAATAAATCAATGAATAGCAGATGTAAACAGAAATTTTGTCTTCACTTCATCTCATAAATAACCCAAATTAGGTAAAGTTACATAGTCAGTTACATTATCAAAACTATCTTTAGGCAATAGTATGTATAATCAATAATAATAGTAGACATATTTTACATAAGTAGAGTATATTTAAGTATTTACAATATGAGTGAAAATTAAATTTTCCATTAGGATTTAGCTAATCGGATTGGACAATTATAATAATAACCATTACTCAATGATTATTCAACAAATATCTTAGTCCGATAGAAAGTTGACCGTGATCTGAAAAGTTTAGTAGTAACGTCTTAGACTGTAGAATTGGATAATCTAGAGTTTGAATCCAAAAAAAAGAGACATCATTCCCTTGGAGACTGTATGTAGTTCTTGCTAACAAGAATAATAAAAAATATGATATCTAGGTTCGAGATTTCATTTTAACTATTTTCAATCGCCTAACACCTTATTCATCCTAATCATCAAATATTTAAAAACTGTTCAAAGATGAATACATCGATATGTAACTAGTAAATGAGGTACATTTCTATTTATTGTAGATATTCAGGCGGTTTGTACAACAATCTTAACTCATTCTAATAAATGATATAAATCTTTGTGAGTATATAAAAACCTATATAATAACTAGACTATTGAAAATTTCACTATATATGGACCCAAAAAGTACATTGTTAATATGGGAACTTAGGCGAATGCTTAAATGATATAAAAAGTCAATATTTAATGTGTCCATGTATAGAAGCTCCCAAGTATTTTTACTAAAGTTATACAGCTGATAAATCATTATTGATATACTCTGGTCTACTTCTTAGTACATTGATGATATTTCAGATTAATTTGCATAAAATACAACAACCTTTTTTTTTATTATTTATTTACAAGAGTGATTTATTCATGTTTATTCTTAGACAAATTAGAAAAATGTAAACTTTATTGTTTTCAGTCAATGAATCTAATAGAAACTTTATGTTTTACATTTGTAAAATTAGTCGGTAGTAAAGTGAATAGTGTATACACTCTTTGTCTTCCCTTAAACTAAGAGATGAAAATCGCTTCATATATTTCATTCTACCAACTAATTCTTTCTTCTTGTACTATATCCTTATATGCAATCTTTCTTTTATATATTACCACCTCTGAATTAACTACTTTTATGAATCCGGTGTCCATCTTGTTGTGTTAATGAGGTATTTCAACTTGACCGATGCATATATGTGCCTGGTCCTACGTTGTAGCTGACTGACTGAATAGAGCTGATAAACTAATTTAAGTAATTTGGGTAAAACAATCAAACTATTGATTGTGTTGTCTTAACTTTAGGATTTTAAGTGAAAACATATGAGAATAGATAGGATGTAGCATGAAAACAGATTCACAATATATTGAATAACTACATATCTGATACTTTTTTTCTTTTTATAGGAAATATATCCTACAGATTTGTTTCACAAGTAAACATGAATTTAAAAAAAAAAGACAGGATAATAGAAGTTTCTATGTAAGAATTATTACAGAACAGAGGAATTTCGTCAAAGTTAAACTGATGCTCATTCTATTAGAATTGTAGTCAATAAAATAAAATTGTATCAAACTTGGCATTCACCAAATTGTAGGCATACTGAACGAATGAACTTCGACTTCGAAATAAATTCACACACGTTTTGCTATTTTAATTAAGTTACTTATGTACAATATAAGTAGTACGTAACAAATGAAATAAAAATTATCATTATTTAATCCCGAGATTTATTTTTCTTCAACATAGCTTAATAATTAAGAAATAATAGTAAACAAGAAGGTATAACGTTTTATATGAGTCTAAATGAGGAATGTCTTCCTTGTTGTACTTTGGAGCAAAATTTTTGTCTGAAACCTGAAACTTAATTGTGATAGATTGAGAGTAAACTAATTCACCAAAAAATATATATTGATTAACTTGGTAAGAAAAGAAAACACTTTAGTTTCATTTAATATTTTGATATGGCGTTCAGTATATTTGATTTTATAGAATTAGTTTAGCTACTGACTGTTATTAAGGTGGTTTTCCCTGTCATTTTACTTACTAATTTTGAGTGTGAAACATAGTTGAATAAAATCCAATCTCCATGTTCATCTATTCATAACCAATATCAAAACATAGTAGAAATTACAATGATAATTGGTTTTAAATTCGTGTGAACTAAACCGAGACAACTATAGACACTTAAAGTCCAACCGTTCAACAAACAAGAAGGAGATCTACCACATATATATGGAGCGTAAGAGTATGTGTATCTACGTTCTTGAGTCAACGAGGTCGATTTTCACCGGACTGTTCGCACTGTGATTAATATCCGTTAGTTCCATATACTCAGTGAAGTATCCTAGTGAGTAGCACATGTATAAGCGTACAACAGCGATTCAAAAACGT